TATCCTAATACTCTTAAATTAAACTATTATATTAAGCAAATAACTCAAACCTCACCCTAATGATGAGCTTAATTACATAACCTACCTCCCACCTACTCACTAAATTACAATTTGTTGGTCTAAATCCAACAAAATCAAGTACATAAACTGCATAATTCCAACTAAAGCAAAACACTCTTGAGGCCCCCCCTCATGTATAAATTCCCCTGCAGCCTTTTAAGCTCCTGGCACAATTGCTCTTGGCTGCATATCTAAGAAAGAAATTTAAGAACCAGCTCCTGAGATATCCCGGACCCTGTAGCCTTCCGTGCGGCTGTAAGATACGAGCTGCTAAACGCTGTAGGCCATTGTCGTCAAGCAAGGAGGAGGAAGCTTCTGTCCAGTTTCCATATGGGTCCACGGATTTTAGTTGAGGGGGAGCATATGTAATTCCTGCGGCCGTTTTTCTCACTTTGAACGTCCACGAGCATCAGATGTCTCTACGGCCAAATGGAAGAGAATTGGTCACACATTTAAAATGGTTTTTTTTTTCTCTTTATAGTTATTAAGCGTTAAAGGTTGATACTTCATGCAAAAATTATCTTGATGGGGCACGAATCTCGAGGCAAAAAGCTAGTTGGAAACTTCAAAAATTAAATCCGGGAGCACCTGAACTTCGATTTCAGCAAACTTACAGTCAAACTGAGGGTCTCGGAAATACGAACCCAACGACACCAAATTTGACTCAATCCGAGCCCAAATGAGTCCAAATCAAGGACCTAAAGCGCTGTTGGAAGGTTCGAACCACAATTTGAGTTACCAAACGGTCTCCGATTTTGGCGAGCTTATAGTCGAATCGAACGGCTCGACGAGAACACTCCAGAAAAACTATAAATAGAGCCCTCATTCTTCACAAGAGGGACTCAAGTGAAGAGAGAGAAGAAGAAGGAAAGAAGAAGAAAAAGGGGAAAGGGAGAATCCTCTCCTCCTCGACCACCACTGGAGTTCTTCCCGCCGCCCGAACACGCTAGGATTCTGCATGATATTGGGGAGAACGACGAAATTCTGCCCAACTTCCACGTGATGCTGAAGTTCTTCCCAATTAATGACAGAGTTCCCTCCTGACGCCGAAACTCTGCCGAAGTTCTCCTCGTCCACCAACAAACGTCGGACTTTTACCCGACACCGGACCTTCACTCTTCACCAAGTTTCTACCCAACACCGGACTTCTACCAGTTATCGGACTTTGGCTAGACGTATATCCGAAGACGGATTTCTTTCTATTGTTGGACTTCTACTTGACGCCGTTATTCTGACCTTCATCGTCAAACATAGTCCTTCTAGCCTCCATCGCAAGACAACGATCCTCCCGATCTCCATCGCCCACCGACAACGGTCCTTTCAACCTCCGTCGCCAGCCAACTATAGTTCTCCTGACTTACGTCGCCCGCCGACTACAGTCTTTCCGACCTCCATCGCCCGCCAACTACGGTCCTCCTGACTTATGTCACCCGCCGACTACAATCTTTCCGACCTCTGTTGCCCGCCGACTACGGTCCTCCTAACTTACGTCGCCCGCTGACTACAGTCTTTCCGACCTCCGTCGCCAGCCGACTACGGTCCTCCTGACTTACGTCGCCCACCGACTACAAGCCTTCCGACCTCCGTCGCTTGCCAACTACAATCCTCCCGACCAAACGAACATGTCAATAGTGATTCTTTGTATTTATATCATGTAATGTACTCTATAAAATGTACATCAAGCTAAGGCCTTCTCCCAAGGAAGGGCATCATTTGTAATCGACTGCAATACTAGTGGAAACCTTTGGGCCTTGGATTTGGATTGATTGACCTAAGATCTAGGTAGATCCTAAAGTCTAAGCTTTAGAAGAATCCTTTGGTAGATCCTAAGGTCTAGATTCTAAGAGGATCCTAGGATTCGAATTAATTAAATCGATCTAAGATCAAGAGTAGTCCAAATGACCTCATACAAAAATGAGGTCAACATCGGTACCGCAGCTCAGTACTGCTTGGTATTGGATTATGTGGTTGCACCTGATTCGCCTATGGACGTTCAACTGTATCCGGTGTCTGCACAGAATAATCTCTCTAACACAATGACTGCATAAGGAAATAATCTCGGACACGTGGAGTGGACTCGTGGGCATTCAATTGGATTTATTTTTTTACTTTATATATTTAATATGTCCGCGGAACTTTAAGCCAACTGCACCAAAAGCCTAGTCCCCAAACTCAGATAAAGCGTAGGTAAAAAAACACAACAAAAGAGAAATTAAAGCACAACTAAAGTGCATGTAAATTGCAGGTAAAGCACAAATAGTTAATATTGCAGATGATGGTGATGTATGCATCAACATAAGTAGATGAAGATCATTAGTTTTTGTTAATGATAAACATCATTGTGGGACAATGATAAGACGTGGGTTGACAATTAACGCCATCAAGCATCAATTAACAGTAGGTGTCAGAGTTGATTGACAATGAGCATTGGTATTGGTCGATGGTTGGCATCAATATTAGTTGGCGGAGGGTGTTGACGTCGACGAGATAGGAGTTAGCATTGATCTACAACTGATATTATGTTCTAATAAGCACACAAAATTAAGAAGTCATTTGATTCCTCTTATGATCCCATGAAAATTTCCAATGCTTATAGTACTTAATGAAGACCTATTTGAACTTTGAACAAGAGGTTCCTTGCATGATTGGACTAATTATCTCATTGAAAATTTCATTTTGAATATAAATTTATTGAAAAGAAAATTCAGATGATCTAAAATTTGATTTGAGTAGTTTTTATCAATAATTGAATGTTTTGACATGTAAAATTATAAATCAAGATTCTATATCTGATTTTGACAAATTTATATTGACATCAATTATATTTAAAAAACTAATGCAAGTTACATAACCAAATCTTAGTGTAAGGTTATGATAATTTCTAATAAGGATAGGTCAACTAAAGGTTTGGGCTAGCGAGGAAGGGTTTTTACGGGTAGATAGTATCAATAGTGTTGGTCGCTGGCGGGCAATTTTTTTTTTCTTTTTTATATCGCTAGCGGACAAATGATGATAAGCAGTGGGTAATAATCATATTAAGGCACAACTGAAAATCATTTGATTTGGCCTCTTTTTAATTCCAATAAAAAATAACTTATTTGATACTTAAAATTTAATTTTTTTTTTTAATTTATTTCACCTCAAAGTATACACTAAAAAGTTAAAATACAAAAAAAAAAAAAAAAAAAAAAAAAAAAAAAAAAAAAAAAAAAAAAAAAAAAACCCTAGCTTACCAAAAAGCCCCTTGAATATTCAAAGGTCTAGCTACTAGATATTCATGACTTGGATATTCTTAAATTGTTTTACTTTCTTGTTGGCTTGTAGGAGGTTTTACATATAAAAAGGCTTCATGTGATAAAAACTTTTGCAATGTTCTGGAACAGAAATATTTTGCCTAAATTTCAATGTCACCTGATCTTGATTAGATTAATTGATCAGTATTTGTCTACTCTTTTTAGACTGGGCTGACCTAAGTGAAGGCATCTTGTCCTAATATTGCCTAAATATGCCATTGAATCAGACAAGCATAAAATTCCAAATCCAAATAGATTGGCAATAAATGTGCATAAACATGTTAATTATATATATAATTGAATATATTTGAATAACAGTTTTAAATTTTGATATTTAAATTAATAAATTTGAGCAACAAGTATTTATTTATTTATATTTCTGAAAAAGAAACTCATAAGAGCTGAATGAAATATTAATTTAATAATTAATGGTGATTTAATTATTTTCATCTAGTTTTTTTAAATATATTTAGTTCAAACATATTTAAATTGTTGAAAATATAAAAATAAGGAAAATATGGAGAAAATAATTAGATATTTATATTGAAATATTAGTTTTACTTTTAACTAATACTTGGTAATAAAAATATTAAACAATTGAGTAGATTGATAGATTAAAACTTTAATTATATGATTGTTAAATATTAGAAAAAATAGTGGGCATTTCGTTGTAAAATATAATAAACAATTATGAATATAATACATTTTTTTATTAATAATAATATTGTTTATTTAAATTATATCTATGCATACAGCCATACACACACATAATTTATTAGACTCCATTAAATTTTAATAATGGCTTAAAAAATAAATTTTAAAATCAAATAAAGTTTTACAAAAAAAATGATTTTTTTTTACACTTTAAACAAATTTAATCATAAAATTACTTATAAACACAATATGAATAAAACCTTGAATATTTAGGGCATCTCTAACTTATTTTTCACTCTTAAATACAGCAAGAGACATCAAACAGAAGTTCATCTCTAATCAAACTCTATTTTTAACACCAAAAAAATGTTCTTTCTTAATTTTCTTTTCAAAAAAAAAAAAAAAGTATTCGTACGTGAACAGTGCGATGCCAATAATATTAGCGCCTCACTGTTCAAAATATGAAAATGTTTTTCTGAATATAGCTTGGTTGGATGCTCATACAAACTTCAAATACCCAAATGAAGTTGGGTTGGAGATGCCCTTAGGCTTCATTTGGGATGGATTTTTTACTGTTTTTTAAAGCTATTTTTTAGTAAAAATTTAAAATTTTGATAATAAAAAATTATTTTAAGAAGCATTAAGAAATACATTACAAATGAAGTCTTAATCATATGATTAGAGCCGAAATTTTCAGTAATTAGAATGATTTGAGGAGAAAATTGAGCACACTCGACTCGTTTTAATTGCCTAAAAAGTTAACCCAATAATTTTACCACCATCTTCGTTTCCTCAATGTTTTTTAACACGACACCTCTCCGTACATATAATTCTCTTACAGGTTTTTAAAAACCTCCGGAATCCAAAGAAAACACCCACATCACCACATCACCATCCCACGCTCTGTTCTCCACATTCCTCATCTCCTTCCTCAAAACAAAACTTCATCTTTTTCCTACATCTTCTTCTCGCAAGCTCCTCAACTCACCAACAATGGCTTCCCTCTCCACCACCAACATAAAAAGCTTCCTCAACACCACCTTCCTCCTCCTCCTTTGCTTCTTCTTCACCTCCCACATTCGCTCCCCTTCCCCTCCCTTCTTCAACCTCCTCAACTCCCAACCACCTACCCTTCCTTCCTCCATCTCCTCCTCCTCCAGCTCCCCTTCCTCAACCTGCATTGCCTTCCAAAAACTCAAAGACCACAACTCCAAATGCCATTTCCTCAAAACTCACCCTCCTTGCATCTCCCAAGGCTACCTAAACTACCTCCACCTCTTCTACTGCCTCTGCGGCTCCTCCCCTTTCCTCGGCTACTCTCTCCTCTTCCTCTCCCTCTTAATCCTCTTCTACCTCCTCGGCAACACTGCTTCCCAATATTTCTGCTCCTCCGTCGAACGCCTCTCACACGAACTCCGCCTCTCTCCAACCATCGCCGGCGTCACTCTTCTCTCCCTCGGCAACGGCTCTCCCGACGTTTTTGCTAGTATTGTTTCTTTCCGCTCGGGGTCCGGCGAAGTTGGGCTAAGTTCCGTGCTCGGCGGCGCTTTCTTTGTCTCGTGCGTTGTAGTCGGAATAATTAACGTGGCGGCGGCGTCCAAGGGGAGGAGGTCGCCGAGGATTGATAGGGCGAGCTTTGTGAGAGATGTTTTTTTCTTCTTGGTTGTGTTGTCGTCTCTGCTAGCCATACTTGTGGTCGGAAGAGTGGATATTTGGGCGGCGGCGGCGTTTACTTCGCTTTATTTTGTTTATGTGTCGGTTGTTTCGGCGACGCATTTGTGTCGGGAGAAGTATGATGACGATGAGGTTGATGCGAAGCCATTGCTTGAAGAGGAAAGGGAGGACGGTGAGGCGGAGGATACGCCAGTTGACTCCTATAGCTCTGTTAACGACGCGGCGGAAGACTCCGGCGGGCTGAAAGCGATGGTATTGTCATTTTTTTACCCTTTAAAGTTAACTAAAATTAATAATTAATTTTTTAAAAAAACTTAATTTATGTGCGGCTGAAGAATTTTTCCTCTACTGGTTTTAAAATTATGTTGAGATCAGTCATATATTTAATAATTATAAAAAATAAGACTGATATTAATAAAATATTTATAAGAATATTCTAATATATATATTCATGATAATTTATGATTTAACTTTTTATGTATGATATTATAAATATTTTATTATTATTTTGAATAATTTTATTGATGAATAACTTTTATTTATAATATTTTTTTATTAAAAGATTCAGCACATGCATGATTTAACCATCGTGTCAGGACCGTCACAATCATCTTTTCTATATTTATTTATTTATATTTATATTTTGGGAGGCTTTCAACTAATTAAATCTCTAATTAAGTTATATAAAGGGCAATATTGTAAATCAAATATTTCACTTGGATAAGCTATCAACTATTAGACTTAGATTTTGTTTGAGAGAGCTTTACTAATGCTTCTTAAAATAGTGTTATATTACTAACTGATTCTTTTGTAGGTTTTAAGCCCCCATGCAGGGTGGAAAATATTAATTTTAGATCACTTCCCAGTTCAAGACCACAAAGGCTATGGCTCACAAAAATATTAATTAATATTAAAGTTGTATATATAAAATAAAATTAATATATTTATTTATATAAAGTCTTTATATATATAACATTTAAATCCTTATGTTTATTTATATAACATATAAATCCTTAAATTAAGTCAAATATATCATCAATATTAATTTTCTTAAAATAAAATATAATTTTCCTTCATATATTTTGATATCATGGTGAAGTTAAAATGTTATCTAAATAGCTATTAAATATTAAATGTTAAATATTAAAACGTAAAAATTATGTAGTATATATGTAAATCCTCAAATAGAGATTTCATTTTAAACAAGTCAATATTATTTTTTTTAATATAATTATAAATAAAATCATAAATAAATATAGCTTTGTATTAATATTTTACACTTTTTTTAAATATTTTTATATAGTTTTGCATTAAAATGCTAAATAAAAAAAATACTAAAAGTTAAATTTCTGCAGGTATCAAACTGTTTCTCGTGGTTGCTCTACATCATTGAAATGCCTCTCTATCTACCCCGCCGCCTGACCATCCCGGACGTCAGCGATGAACGGTGGAGCCGCCCGTACGCCGTCGCCTCCGCTGCTCTCGCCCCTCTTCTCATCGCCAGCCTATGGAACTCCAAACGCTCCATCTCCATGTCTTCGAAAGACTCCCTCACCCTTTACCTCTACGCCGCCCTCGCCGGCCTCGTCCTCTCCTCCCTCGCCCTCCACACCACCCAAAAACCCACCCCTCCCAAATCCTCTCTCTTCCCCTGGCTCGCCGCTTCCTTCCTCATGAGCGTCCTCTGGACCTACATAATCGCCGAGGAACTCGTCGGCCTTCTCGTCTCGATCGGATACATACTCGGCATAAGCCCCGGCATACTCGGCCTCACCGTATTAGCCTGGGGGAACTCCATCGGCGATTTGATCGCCAATCTGGCCATGGCGATGAACGGTGGGCCCGATGGAGCCCAAATTGCCATTTCGGGCTGCATCGCCGGGCCGATATTTAATACTCTGGCCGGACTTGGTTTGTCGCTGGTGGTTTCGGCTTGGGCGGCCAGACCCGACCCGTTTGAAATTCCGGCCGGGCCTGCGGTGTTCGAGATATTGGGTTTTATGATCGCTGGCTTGGTTTGGGCTTTGGTTTTCCTGCCCAGGAAGGACATGAGATTGGATAGGTTTGTGGGGATTGGTTTATTGGCGATTTATTTGAGCTTTTTGTCGTTGAGGCTGACGCAGAGTTTGGGATTAGTGCAGCTGTAGCGAGTTTCGGATTGTTTGAGCGGCTTTTATGTAAAATTATTAGCGTTGTTCAATATCTTTTTTTCTCTATGTATTTTGTTTGGTCTATATATATCGTCTGGTTTAGTTAGATGGGAATTAGTTTTGTACTTCTTTGTTGGGTTTAGTTAATAAGTTATTATTATTATTTATATGTATTGAATAAGATTTTCTCAAATTGTCTGTTCATTGTCATATATGAAATCGTTCTGATTGTTTTAATTGTTTTCTTTTCAAAGCAAGTTTATCAAATTAAGACCCTTCTTTGTTGATCATCTCAATGTTTCGTCAACTTTTGTAGCGGCGGATTCGTTTGATATAAAAAGTTTGAGTTGGTTCTTTATGGCTTCATTTGGCATGGCTTTCTTACTGCTTCTCAAAGCAGTTTTTTAGTTCTTTAAGAAGCAATAAGAAAGCCGTCTCAAACAAAGCCTGTCTATCAATATTATTAGATAACTAACTAGTAGGTTAGAGTACGTGGATCATAAGTACAATTAATAATGATTATGATGATGTATAGTATGAAGATTAGTTCAAAATTAACATAAAACGTTTATTTAGGACAGTTTTTTATATTATTTGTTTTTAGGATCATTACTGTATTGTTCTTTGATTTACTTTTACTTAAGAAAAAAAAGTTATTATCCGTTTATAAAAGAAAAAGAAAAAATATTTGTAATCTCATAGCAGCTTTTAATTAATTAATTTTTTTTCAAAAATAACGTAACAATAATGTTTACAATAGTTGCAATGGACCCCAAACGGACCTTTAATTAAGATTTCATTTCTGACCCCTAAACCCTAAAGCATTTTTTAACAAAAAATTTTTAATTTTTATATAAAAGGTTATTGTAAGAAGCAGTAAAAAACTATTCCAAAATAAATCTAAAACTATTGAAATCTAATTTGATGCTCAGATTGGATCAGCATAAACAGTTGAGGCTATGAGTTGATTGGTTTGGTACAGTGCTTGAACTGATAGGTATTGATATTTTTTTTAATTCATTAAATTTAAGAAAAAAAAAAAACCAATGTTATTCAAATAAATTTATGGAGTATTGAAGACTTAGGCTTCATCTAGGACAATTTTTTTAATGCTTCTTAAAATAGTTTTTTATTAAAAAAATTAAAAAATTTGTACTAGAAAGCTGCTTTAAGAAGCAATAAGAAAGCCATCATGAACAAGCAAAAAAAAAAATTTAATTTTTCTACTAAGAAGCTGTTTTATTGAAGAAGCAACAAAAAAGTCCTCCCAAACAAAGACTTAATTTTATAGTTTAATTTTTTTATTTGTAATTAATTTCCATTAAAATTTTGATACTAATTTTTAATTCTAATATACATTTAATAAATTTAAATATTTTAAAAAACGAGCTGTAGGAATTTTATTTGGAAGCTTATTTAAAAATGGGACCATCAAATCTATTAATTTGGTGTTATTCATGGAGATTATATGGAAAGCTGGCATCATCCCAAATCCCGTTGATTGGCTTTGGGCACACATATTGGAAGAGTTAGACAAAAATTCTATGAGTTTCTTATAATTATTTTATGATTTTTTTTTTTAAATGCAAGATGCATAGATATTTCATTAAATTTATTTTCATTTTTAATAATAAGATCAAGTTTATATATATATGATCTTAATTCAAGTACTTTGTTATAATTAGTTTATTTTAATATAAAGCTTTATTTTTAAATTTTATCTTTTATTATCTTTATCTTTGTGTTATAGCTATTGTGATTGCATTTTGTTTTATTTTCCTCTCTTATTTAACAAATTCAGATTTTTATTGCATATGTCACCGCTTTCATAAAGTTTTTGTTCTAATTTTATTTGAATCAATTATAATAGATGGGGACTTAAAATGGTAGCCTACGGGATAATGAATAAAAAATTTCTTCGCATATGATCTCAATCTTTATTAAATTTTATTTGGGTGTTATTCAAATCAATTTAGGATTCTTTTGTGACTGCTTTCTTATTATTTTTCAAAATAGTTTTCAAGTACAAAAAATTCAGTTAGAAGCGAAGCCTTAAGATTGAGGGGACTTATAAAATGTAGTTCATAGTAAAAAAAAAAAAAGTATTTTTGTCTTGATTAAAATTTTGGGCATATTTCTCCAAGAAACAAAGCAACAGGAATATTTCTTTAGTTTTAGACATTATTCTACATATAAATTCACATTTTCACAAAACACACACACAAACACACACATATTTCAAATACAAACATTTTATGGACCATTTCATCATGGGACCCCGAGAGTTTGCCCGCTCTTTGCCCTAGCTGTCCTCCGACGCGGTTATTTTTGGCTGGGGCTGCTCGCTTCAGTGGCGCCGACAATTTCCGTATTTTCCAGGAAAGTTCTTTTCCTTTTCTGGTTTTGCCATTGGTTTTTTTTTTTTGGCTCTCTTTCCCTCTCTGGTGTTTGCTGCAATGGCGCATAAGCTTTGTGACCCCGATTTTTTAGGTGGTTCGTCTTCTTCGCGTTCTTTTTTGGATGTTCTTGCGGGCTCCTCTTTTGTCATTGATTTTTCGGAACTTAGGGAGTTCTCTTTTCGTGGCTTGCCTTCCCTTTGGATCTTGGAGCAGGAAATCCATGCTTTGGTTGTTTCTATTTAGTTTTCTTTTGTAGGTTTTTTCCCTCCAAACGGCCCTAACTTGATTTCATTTGTAGATTCTTCTTCAACCTCAAGATGAATGTGAGGTTTCGATCACCCTGCTTGATCCGTCGCACATCCTTATCAAGCTGGCAAATGAACTTGATTACTATATAGGGTCTTCTGTCATATATCATATTTGGTTTACAATTGCTACATGAAGCTTACCAAGTGGTCTCCCCTAGTAGATGTCAGTGTTGAATCGCCGGTGATCCCGATTTGGGTATCTTTTTCGCAATTGTGCTCTCACCTCTATTCTCCCCGCATTCTTCACAGTTTGGGATCTCTCTTTGGAAAACCTTCAAAAATCAATTCTGCCACTTCTATTGACTCAAGGTCGTCCTTGGCTCGTGTTTTAGTTGAGCTGGATGTCACTAAATCCTACCTGGATAAGGTTTGATTTGTCCCTGAGAAGTTGGGCTATGTCCAACAAGTGGTTATGGATGAGTTCCCTCCATTTCGTGCTTCATGTGAAAGTATTGGTCATGTGGTCGGGAAGTGTCGTCCTCTTCCTGTGGCTGATCTGTCTAATTCTAACAAGGCTCGTAATAAGGTTTATGTTAATCCTGCTTTGAATCATCCTTCCACCCCTTCCCCTATTGTGTTGATCCTTGCTGAGGGGGACAATGTGATTGTTACGGTTTCTATCCCTTTAGAATTGGGCTTTGCTGAGAATTTTGTTGTGAATGATGAGATTTTTTAGGGGGTTAATCATGATATTATTAGTTCTAATTTAGTTCAGGTGGATGCTGTAGTGGTTGGGGTGGAACCTGTGCCCAGGTTTCGCTGTTATGTGCTAGTAAGGTTGGTGAATTGAATTATGGTTTTAATTTTAAACATGCTTTTTTCTTGTGCGAATATTTTGCCTGCTCCGAGAGGTTTGTCTGTGGACGATGTGCCTTGTGTGGACACTGAGCATTATGGTTCTCCTTTTCCTCCTATTCGGGATTTGGTTGGTTGTGGTGAATCCTCTCCGCTGGTTCCTGTAGAACGGGATGTGAATACTCTCCGCTGGTTCCTGTGGAACGGGATGCTGCTTCTTCTTCTGTTAATTTGGTTTTGAATATGCATGTTCATGATTAATTAGATTTAGCTCCTAATGATGGCTTCGAGGGCAATGTTAATTTTGTTAATATCCCTATTTCAGTTATGTCTAATGTTGAAATGAAAGCTCATGTGACTCAGTATGTGAAAAATTCTGTTTTTAGTTCAAACTAACTGTCTGATTTTGGAGGATTCATTTTCTTCTCCTTCTAGCGGGGACGAAGCCGATTTTCATGAATTTGAGGAGGAAATGGTAGGACGTTCTGTGGATCGTGGTTTTTTTTAATGCCGGTGGAAAAAAAGCATAAAAGTAAAGTCTAGAAGAAATAAGTTTTGGTATTTGGCTTTTTCTATTTCGTCGGTGGTTTTTGATGTTTTGGTGGACGATGATGATGAGGTCCCCAACTTCCCCTTGTTGGCTTGGCGGGTTGGAAACCTGGGTGTCTCGATTTTTTGCTTGGTGAATTCTAGACTGTGTTGGTATAGCTGTCACCTACGGATGGTCCGTGCCTGGCTGCGAGGTTGGTGTACTGGGCCTCGATTCCTGAGTCCCTTTTCGTTGCTTATCCTGCTCTGTTTGGTTTTGTTGGATTTAACTGTTTTGTACCATTGGATGTTGGCCTATCGATATTGTACCCCTTTTATCTATTGAATAATATTGTGCTTATATATATATATATATTCTGATTAAATTTATTCACTAAATTATATATCATCGCTCGTAATGCTGAAATTTAGTGAAAGGCATTGTGTAACTTTCGCAGTATTAAATAAAATTGATATTCACTATCTTGATTAGGAATTGATTGGGGCATTCTAAGAAAATGGGTTCTTATTGTAATCTTTATATATATATATTTTTTATGCATTGTTAAATGGAAGTTTAATAAATTGGTTTATTTCAAATATCCTTGCTATATATTTATTTAACGAAATATATCTCTTACTGAACTTTTATGAATTAAGAAAATGTTTAGAGTCTTTGTAATAGCAATTAGCATTTTTATTACATTAGTTAAAGCTTATTTGTTTTTTGTTCATTTCTATCACAACAAGATGGACTTTACCTAGGATGAGAATGGATCGATTATGAAATCTTGGGTGGAAATTTCTTTTACCTATTTCTCTAGGCAATCTATTATTGACAACTTCTTGTCAACTTGTTTCACTATAAACTACAAAATAAAATTAAGAAATTAAGAGAAAACAATAATGTTTGAAAATTTATCATATTACATGATCTAAAATGAGAGAGAGCTTCTTATAGGACTCGTAAGTCTCTCAAAGTTGTTTTCAACAGAGATTTGATCAATATTATTCTCAATCATTATTCTCATCTATCAACGCTTGTACTAAGAAAGCACCCATTAAAAACTCCTATTTTCTTCAGACATTGTTAGTCTGTTAGCGTTTACTCCCATGTATTGCAATCCTAGTTCAAACCCCTCCTTCACAAGTTGATTGTGCGTCAATATCTACCCCCAGAGCTTATGTCAGAAACTCTTCTTCTTCTTCAAACACTTTCTATTCGTTGATGCTTGCCCTCTGTTCACAATCATAATTCAAACATCTCTTCTCCTTCGCGTGTATTGGAGCTTGGGCCCAATGAACTCTTGTCATGAATTGCCCTTATCCTTTACATGACACCGATCTAAAATGTTTCGACTTCAATAAATAATATGCAAATATAGAAGAAGATCATTATTCATAAAGATAATTCTATCTATAATGAATCTTCAAATATATATATGTATATTAAAATAATCTATATTAAAAATATTTGATCACAAAGGTACATTTAAGAGTCATATAAAGCCAAATTTTCACATACATTATTTAAATTAACGAGCAAAAAAGTATCTTTTGAGTTATAGAATGGTGACAACTTATATCATTTGTCATCTTCTTACTTGCTAAAGTAGCATTCGAACTGTTTTTTTTTTTTTTTTTTTTGGGTTTTTTTTTTTTTTTTCTTGGGGAATGTCTATTTTTTGTTATGTTTCACTATTCGAAAACGTTTACAGAGAATCTGACAACGTTGTAAATTGGTGAAATGCAGTGAAAGTTACTCGGTTCTTTCAATAATCCAATATATCATTCATAATAAAAATAAGTGTCATTCAAAAGGTAACAACAATCTTCATCTTTGGTGCACATTCTGCAAGCAACATAAATTTTTTATACTTATTTTCTTTTTGAATCAACTAACTTATATGGCGAATTGGTAAGATTATGGTGTAAATGAGATGAGTCGAACTAGAGTCAGCTTTGATTTAGGCATAGGCTTCGTTTGAGAGACGACTTTCTTTTTGCTTTTTAAAGCAACTTTGTAGTATAAAAAATCTAATTTTTTATTAAAAAGTTGCTTTAAGAAGCAATAAAAAAGTTATCCCAAACGAAGACTTACTATTCGTTTGGGACGGCTCTTTTATTGCTTCATGAAGCAGTTTTTTAGTACAAAATTTTTAATTTTTGTACAAGAAAGCAACTTTAAGAAGCAATAAGAAAACCGTCCCAAACGCAGCTTTGATCTTGATTGATTATTCGAGCTTGAGCTTTTTTTCGGGAGTTGGAGCAGGCTCATGAATTGGCTCGTTGATGAAAGAGAGACAATTATTATGATTCAAACAATTATTATAATAAACTGAAAAAAAGAATAAAAAATTAGAAGAAAAAAAAAACACTTAAGTATAAAAAAAGATATCGTACCTTTAAAATATTTGTAATAATTTAGTATTTAAAATTATAAATACTAATACATTTTAAGTGCATTTTATATAAATCATTTTTAAATGAGTTGGCTCACGAATTCACTAGTCTAGTCAGGACTAACTTAAACTTGACTTACGTACATGTTAGCTCATGAGCCTTTTATATCTAGTTGAGCCCGACTTGACTCACTTTAACCCTTAGCTTAGATTACCAAAATATGTATAATAAGATAGGATATAGATATTATATATTATATTAACTGTTTAAAGTAAGTAACCAATGCTTTATGCGCATGCTTATTAAAATAAGTGCACAAATATACCACTTATTTTGTTAAGAAAAAATAATAAAAATATTCTGATTGAAAATTTTTAAGTATAATTTTTGATAAAAAAAAAGTTTATTAATATAATCTTAAAGTTTGAAAACATATGTAAAATCGAATAAAACATATAAAAAATATTATTGTAATCATTTTAAAATCAATCATCTTGATCACTTTTTAAATAAAATATTGAAATTTATGATTGTAAAAAATGACTTAAAACACAATTAAAATTGTGTTGTGATAGCTTCTACAATTATTAATTTATTTTTATATTAATAAAATATATAATTAACTACTTAAAGTTTAGTTATTTTTATATCAAAATAAATTTAGTATTGATAAAATTATTATAATCAAAATTTATTTAGAATATTTGATCTCAATAATTTTCATTTAAGATTATGTAAATAAGAAGAATTTTTTGGAGAAAATTCATGGTGGGTCATACGTGTTAATTAAAAACCAAGATTACAAGTCCTTTAAAAACCTTCAACTATCTAAAAAAATAGTTATTGAAATAAAACCTACTAGCCGATAGTTATATCTAATATAATGAAAATTAAATAAGATAAAACAGAAAAACCATGCAAACAAAAGAAAAAATCTAAAAGAAGCATCAAGAAGATCCTATGGTCCAGACCAGATTGCAAACGAGGAGCAGACACTAAACTTGCAAAAAAACCTTCAAAGACAACCTGCAAAA